TACAGAACGTTCCATCTAACAGCAACAGAATACACATTCTTCTCAAGCACACACAGAACATTCTCTAGGAGAGATTAAATGATAGGTCAGAAACAAGTGTTAGTAAATTTAAGAAGATTGAAATCATAAGTATCTTTTCTGACCACAATGGTATGAAGCTAGGAATCAATAACAGGAAGAAACTGGAAAATTCACAAATATGTGGAAATTAAACAACATGTTCCTGAACACCAATGGGTCAAAGAAGAAATCAAAGATAAATCAAGAAATATCTCAAAACAAATGAAAATGAAAGTGCAACATGTCAAAACCTGTGGGATACCGCAAAGAGTATATCTTAAATGTTCTCACCACAAAAAAGCGATGGTAATTATATGACAGGATGGAAGTGTTAGCTAATTCTATCATGGTAACCATTTTGCAATATACAAATGTATCGAATCAACACATTGTATATCTTAAGCTTACACAATGTTACGTATCAATTGTATCTCAATAAATCTGGGGGAAAAAAGAAATTGGCAGATTACTGAGGTTTAAGAATCCAGATATTTTGTAACCATCATTATAAAAATTGGTTCAGTGTAATTTCATCAATGTATGCCAGAACGACTGGGTGAAAGACAACTGGAGAAAGTGATATTTATACAGTCAGTACATATTCCCCAAATGCTAATTACTAATTACAAAAGTAAAATAATACCTTTACGTTTATAACAGAAGAATCTGGCGATGAAACTTAATACCACTAATAACAGGACAAACTGACAATACCTACCTCCTAATACAATGCACTAAGGATACAATGTCACCTATACGTAGACTATATAGTAAATGCTAGTTTTGTATCAGTGTTAAATTTCTTGGATTGGTTCATTGCATTGTGGTTATATAAGTGAAAGTTGCTGTTCTCTGGGAAAACATTATTTGGTGAATCATCATGTTGTATGCTTTAAATATCTTATAATTTTATTTGTCAGCTATACCTCAATAAAGCTGAAAAAACATCAGAATAAATAAAAGTAAAAATTAGCATGAATCCAGTTAACGAATGTTTCTAAACTAAGGTACCAAGATACTTAGATGGCATAAACCAGAGGTTTATACCACCACTGTTACCCAGCTATTCTTGGTGCAGAATCTGTACCTAGCACAATAGCTTTAAAAATATCCTTGGTTACTTATACCTTGTCTAATCTGTTAGTGTGGTGTAAAGAACATGGGCTTTTTAGCTAGAAAGATATGGACCTAATTTTGACACAGTCACCCAGTAGTTGTGGGATACTTTGAGCCTAACAGTTATCCTCTCTCAGCTTCAGTATTTTTGTTTGTTTGTTTGTTTTTTTATCAACGAAATTGGGATAAAATGACTTGCAGTGTCCTGAGGGATTAGCTGAAGTGGATGTAAAATGTTTGGCATAGTAGGTGTTTATTAAACATTAGCTATTTCTATTATTGACTTTTATTTCAGTTAATGACCTCCCCCCCACCATGGCAGCATATGCCCACACCTCTATCCCTTTCTTACATTGCGGGGGGGGGGGTCATAACTGGCTGACTCACTTAGGACAATGACCAGTACAGAACCATGAGCACATATATATATACTCACAAGCTGATTTGATGGCAGCTAATTGCAAAGTTAGAACCGAAAAGGTGAGTGGAAATGAAAAAAAGAGGTCTTACACTAGGACTTCTTTGCCTTTGAAATTCTGTCTGCAATGTCAGGTGACACTCTCTTGTCTATTCCCTTATACCAGTGCTGTGAGGGTCACCAGGACATTAGTACAGAACTCAGTACTCAGTTTTCCCTTCTCAATCCAGAAATTGTGCAGTGTTTGACATATCTACAAAAACACAGAGAATCTCAATCCCACTGGGGCAGAGAAAATCTTTGCCATCTGAATCCACCCTTGAATATGAAGATCAATAACACAGACACAGAGAGAGCTCATTCATTTTAATAATTGAGCACAGTTTTGATAGTTATTCCCAAGAATTATCTCCCAGGGTCCCCCCACCCCCCATAAACTATTCACACACGACATCTACAAGTATTCAAATTTCATAAATGCAGTGTTGCAAAAGCAAAAGAAATAAGAAAAGCCTTCATAGCCTTGAGATTAAAAACAATGCTTAATTGTTTTCTCACTACCTGTTACTAAATACTAAATGCTAAAAAAGCTGTGCAGGCAGCCGATGGCTGGGGAGAAGAATGGAGAAAGAAGCTCTCATAATGACAAGAGCTTTTACACTCATTTTTCATCTCATAACCAGGATAACACAGGGAAGATCTCTCTATTTTGGTAACTCTGTTGGTGTCAAAAATAGAAAACCCTGGGGCTTCCCTGGTGGCGCAGTGGTTGAGAGTCCGCCTGCCGATGCAGGGGACACGGGTTCGTGCCCCGGTCCGGGAAGATCCCACGTGCCGCGGAGCGGCTGGGCCCGTGAGCCATGGCCGCTGAGCCTGCGCGTCCGGAGCCTGTGCTCC